GGGGGGGGGGGGGGGGGGGAGACTGCAAACAAGTGGAAGGAGGGATTTATAGTCAATGGCCTGGAAGAGAAATACAGGTTTTGATAGCCTCTCTGAGCAGCTCCAGAAGCCCCTTGCGGCTGCCAGTGATTTGCAAGCTGTAGCAGTTTAAGAAAAGCTGATTTGGTTTGTTCATCATTTATATATCTTGCCATAGCAACTCTAGGCTGACAATAACATATAAAAGGCAATCCAAATACATACGAAAACATTAGAAAAAACAGTCAAGGTAAAAAACTCACTGTGCAGTAAATTTAACCCAAACCACAGCTAACTCGTTACCATCCCTTTCCCATTAAAAATAGTTTTAAATATTAACAAGGGCATGCTTCTTCCCAAGGAAAGAGTTTTATTTATAAAGCTGTATGATTCTGTCACTGTTTTATTTGCCATACATTTGCCTTAGTAAAAATGAGGGGCATAGTTTCTTGCCAGTGGCCTCCACGGGAGGGGCATCAAGGTCAAGACTGCAGTCGCCAGGACAGCGTCAAAGTCCTGCACCTTTGTACACGCGCAAGACACTGATGCACATAAAAATGGACAGGCTTGACCACACAACCACAACCTTGATTTTTTTACTGCCCTTACGGACCCCACTATTTCTTGCCCAACTCTCACCCCAATAAAATTGTATCTTTTATTCATGGGGGTCTCACTGACTCAATATTAATTTACGGGGCCACGGCAGCACATTTGCGAATCTTGGATTGGGCTATACACAGATGCAGCCCTATGAACTTCTATGGGCCGGTCTTCTGTGGCCCTGAATCCAGGACGTCTTGTCTGAACCAATTTGCAATTTGCCTGGCCAAATTCCTTGCATTTCCTGATCCCTCAGCATTTTAGTCCATGCTCCCCTCCTAGAGGCTCCTTCAAGCTTCAGAAATGACTTCGAGAAGGTTGAAGGACCACAGGAAGGAGGAAAGAACAGGGAAAGCACACAGCACAGGATCTCAGCCCTAAAGTCAGCCCTTCTGCCTATATTGCACCATCCTGGAGAAGTATTACAATATTAGGGGCCATAAACTCAGAAGGTCCTCCAAATCTTGTTGCAACTCTCCAGTCGTTTTTTCTTTCATTCCCTTTTTTCCTTTTCCTTTTCCTTTCTTTTTCTTTTTTCTTTTTCATTCCCCTGCACGGCAGCCACGAGCTTCTTCCTTCTCCCGTTCTTTCTTTTACAGCTCATAATGAGCTCCAGCCATAAGAATGGTCAAGCCACAAAGCTTAAACCGAGGCCTCTTGGGCTGAAAGAAGGTAAGATGCCCCACCTTGGCTGGGTTCACACAACCGTTCCTGGGATCAGCTGGTTTGTGACGGTGTGTTTTGTGAATGGGTCGTTGTGGTTTAGAAACCTACATTCCTGGCTTGCCATGGAGTGAATAGGAAAATATACCTATTTGAAATGGGGAATGGGTGCAACATAGCAGTCCAAGCCGGAACGTTTTTACTGTTGATAACTCATTTGTCCGGAGTGTGTTAAGTTTCCCCAGGACGACAAACAAAGCCCAGCGTAGAAAGGATTTTAGTGCTGAAATCGAACTTCTTAAAAAGTTTCTCCCTCTGAAAAAGTAACTATGGTTGTTTATTTATTTTATTTATTTATTCTTGAGGGAGGGGTTGAGAATTTCTTCTGAATTTCTCTAGAGTGTATTTTTTTAGCTTATTTCATTATTGGGGGGCATCGAAGAAGATTATGCATGAAAGTCGGCAACGTCCTCACTCAGCACGTGGGGGTCCATAGGGAAGAGGTCAAAAAAGTCAAGAGGTTGGTCACAATGGTGTGATTGAGGCCACACCCCTTTTTACATGCATTGTGACATTAAAAGGAGACGGGGCTCAATTGCGTGGTTGCAGTCGCCGTCTTGACTTTTTTGACCTCCTCCCTGCAAACACCCCTGAGTAAGTTCTGCAACACTAAATTGTCACACCTGAAAATTTCTCCAAAGTGCTCTTCCCCTTTGAAAGAAATTTGGAAATCAAACTCTCTTCCATCAAATTGTACAAGAAAAGGAAGGAGCGTCATGCACTGGAGAGGTTCATTTTGTTCACTCTTAACTAAGGAGAAATTAAAGAAAAGAAGTGAATTTCCAGATTATCCATGCTAGGGACAGCATGTCTCACCAGCCCTTTTTCAATTCTGCTGCTCCGCTTTCTTGGAAACCTGATGGTTACCACTGAAATAATATTTGATAGATAACCTACAAAAGACTTTTCTAAAGAAGTCTACCCTGTTCCAAAAATCCACGCAGGGATTTTTACACCACTCCCCCCTGCCGAAGGATTCGGGTCAACCTTGAGCTTTGAAACAAGAGAGAAACGTGGGAAGGGTGGCGGGTGCCGGAGCGTTTGACCCGGCCCTGGGCTGGCTCGGGGTCCTTGGAACTGAGCCCGTGTCCTCTTCTTGGAGCCAGGTTTAACTGAGATGTACCAGGAGAAGCTGCTTTGTGACGTCACCCTCGTGGCTGACGGACAGAGGTTTCCTTGCCACAGGTAAGTGCCTCTCGTGGTCCCCCTTGGCAGAACAGCAACACTCTTGGCTTTATCGCCAGCTCCAGATACTGTCGTACAGTGTTTCTCAACCTTGGCCCCTTTAAGATGGGTGGACTTCAACTCCCAGAATTCCCCAGCCAGCAAGGAGTTGAAGTCCACCCATCTTAAAGGGGCTAAGGTTGAGAAACACTGCTGTAGCAGAAAGGCCAACGTAGGTCGTGATGAGACAGCCTTCCAGGCAGGGGGATTGGTTTAACCTAGACAGCTGGATGAATGTACCTGGTCCAGAACTGGGTTATCTGTTGGACGGGGTCCAGAGAAGCTCAGGTTTGGTGCCTGCTTGGCCCTGGAGCAGACCTCCCTCTCCGATCCCCCAGCCTCCCAGGGATGCTGGGCTGGGGATTAACCGTCAAGACGTCTTCCCCAGGAGCCACAGATATCTAATCCACACACAGGTCCAGGAACTTGGACGTTCGGTTCTTGTTGCAGGGCCTTGCTAGCAGCCGTGAGCCCCTACTTCCGGGACGTCTTTGTCAAAGGTGGCCAAGAGTGCCAAGAGAAAGAGGTCCTGTTGCAGAACGTGTCCCCGTCGATCGTGCAGAACATCCTGAGATACATCTACACGGAGGAGCTGGCGCTGACCCCTGAGCTGGCTCCGTTCCTCTTCACGGGGGCCAGCCAGCTGCAGATCACCCCGCTGCAAAACGTCTGCTGCAGGTAGGATCACATCATTGCTCATCACAATCCGCAATGGGCTTCCCGGGCTGATCTCAGCAGAGGGTAGCACTGGGTGGGCTGGAGCTTGGAGGCCAAGCTCCACCTTACATCCCCAAGATTTCCTAGTGGTCTCCCGTTCAAGCACCAAGCAGGCCTGCTTGAACGGGAAAGCCCCAAAGAGGTAGCCGACAGAGCACAAGCGAGAAGAATGCATAAGCACACCCACTGAGTTCCTCGGAGCCGGGCTTGACTCAAAGGAGACTTGACTTTTTCTCGCACCTTGTGGAACCGACTCATCGGTCGGCCAGATTTTCTTCCATCAGCCGCTGCTGCTAAGGAAAAGGAAGACTGGGCGAAGGATCGCAACGGTGGGAGTCAAGGTTTGCCACAAGGGGCTGGCTGGGACCTCTTTATTCACTTGCTTCGTTGTTTCCTACGGTCACCGAACCAAATCACTCCCTTGCTGGTTGTCATTTTTGTCCCATCTGTTCGAGAGAGGTATTTCGTCCGAAATGCAGGCCAAGAAGAGGGTTTCCTTGAAATTCTCACAGGCAGGGCATAACGCCTTCGCTCTCATGTGGTGATGAAGCCGTCAAGGTGGGGGGAACCCCTCTTGCATTTCACAGTCCTTGCTCCCGGGCTTCCTAGATTCTCAGTCAATCCAAGGAAAGGCATTCGCAATCCTCTGAACGCTTTCTTTACGGTGGTTCCTGCGGGATTATTTATTTATTATTTAGTTATTAAAGCAATTTATAGGGCCCCCCAACTCACTCACAGTGACTCCGGGCAACTTACAGAAATAAAAC